ATTTGCATGTCACAGGTTGCCTTCCCTATTGGATTCTGGATTTTAGCAATCAGCCTCCCATTGTCTTTTCAGGAAATGACATCTGTGTGACTTCTGGTGTAGGCAACTGGTGACCTCTATGGTTAAAATAACTTGGAATGCTTTTTTAGCACTTCCTCCGGGTTGGTCATGTAGGCTGGATGACTTTGAAAGTTTTCTGGAATGTAAAAAAGTGAGCGAACATTATCAGTGTCCTAGGTCACTAAGAGAGAGAACACAGATGAGCACAATGGATGAGATGAATGCTTCTGCATCAAGATTAAGCTAAACTCTTCTGTTTAGTTCTTTGTCACCTGGAGCATTTTGTGGAACCCCTGTGCCTCAGTTACCCATTTCTATTCTGAATATTCCTTTTTTTGGATAATTAACTAATTTATTTTTAGTTTTTAACATTCACTTCCATAAGATTTTGAGTTTTATTCTGGATATTTCTTAAACATTTAAATAAAAGGAGTAATCCACTTGAAAATGTTTTGCAAACAAATGCTAAAAATTATTTTTACATGTAATTGGAGAAAAAATAAAATATTAAATTAAAAAATACGCACACACAGGTCTTTCTGGCTTAGACACTAGCTCTGTGACCCTGGACAAGTCAATTAACTGCTGTCAGCCTCTGTTTATTCATCTGTGAAAGGAGGTTAATATTAGCACCCACCCCCCAGAGTTGTTGAGGATCAAGTGAGATATTTGCAGTGTTTTGCAAACTTTAAATCACTATATAAATGCTATCATTATTGTAGTTGTTGTTGTCGTTATGGTTGTTATTACTGTTGTTCTGGCTCCAAGACCAGCTCTCTTTTGATTAGGACAGGCTGTCTGTCTACCTTACTCTAGAGATGCTTAATCCAAGTAATTCCAATTCATATAAATGAGAACATCTATTGTTTATGCCAGGCTGTCTCTCTATCTTGGACTAGAAATGTTTGATCCAAGTGATTCCAATTCACATAAATGTTGATCATTTGCCAAAGAGGTGGGTATTGCCATTAAATCAAGAGAAACAACAAAAGCTGTGGCAATGTACTGGGAAACCAAAAAGGCCATGAGCTGTGTCTGGTTTTGTGAATACATGTGATACATGTACATCATGTATACAATAAATATTGACTTCTGGTGATCCCTGCATCAGAATCCATTGAATCAGAAAAGAAAAGGAAAAAAATCTTTCTGTAGGACATTCTAGTAGTGAAGCTTGGCATCATGAATAGAGAGCTAGCCTTGGAATTAGGAAGACTTGGGTTCAAGTCTGGCCTCTGACACATATTGTCAGTATAACCTTGGGCAAATTGTTTAACTGCCCAATGCCCATACCCCATGCAACAATCTAGAACATAAATTATAGAACAGTTACTGATTGGCATTACAAGAGAAAATACCCCACATAAGTAAATTCACAGGTTGTTGTTCAGTCATATCTGACTCTTCATGATCTCCATGACTCTTCATGAACCACATTGTCCATTGGGTTTTCTTGGTAATGATACTGAGGTGGTTTCTCATTTCCTTCTCCAGCTAATTTTACAGATGAGGAAACTGAGGTAAACAGGGTTAAGCAACTTGCTCAGAGTAACACAGCTAGTAAGAATCCAGGGTCAAATCTGAACTCGGGTCTTCCTGACTCCAGGGCCAGTGCTCTATACACTAAAACCAGTCATTTCAGTCGTGTTTGACCCTTCATAATCCTGTTTGAGGTTTTGGTGGCAAAGATACTGGAGTGGTTTGCCATTTCCTTCTCCAGCTCATTTTACAGATGAAGAAATTGAGGCAAACAGTTAAGTGACTCGCCCAGGGTCATACAGCTAGTAAGTGTCTGAGGTCAAATTTGAGCTCACGTCTTGACTCTAGATCTCTTGCTCTATTCACTGAGCCACCTAGCTGCATCCAAAAAAAAAAAATCACAGCCCCCAAATAATAAGTTTTCAGTAGGTACTTAGTAAATGTGTGTGGAATTGAAAATAATTAAATTTAAATTGTGAAATGGATATAAAATTTCCTCAATCTTAAACAGAGTGTTTTAGGACCAGTCTTTAGGACCATATTGCTATGTCCGTAGTCTTAATAAAGCTACTGGATGTGGGCAGGGTCATTTCCCTGTTTATACTGAGTATCACTTGACATGATGTCAAACCTAGTAGGCTGCCAAGGATGAATTTCTACTGATGCAGATGGACACAGATCCCTTTCAAGTTATGTTTTCATGTCGAGACTTCCTGTGCACACAGAAATTATCAGTGTGTCTCTCCACTTGGGAAGGGGATCATTCTGTTGGTTCATTCTGGCCAAAGATTCAGAGGAGCCCTCATTCTAAGCCTTTTGGATCCAGTAAATAATGTCCATTTTTCTATTTTTTTAATGTGCCAGTGCCAAGGAATAAAAATCCTGAGATAGCTCTTATTTTCTAGCAAAACTAGATTGCTGTCTGTCCAGAAAACATGCCCTGTGCTCTCTTGGCCCAGTACTTTTGCCCAGGCTGTTTTCTATGCTGAAATGTTCTCTTTCATCTCTTTGCCTCTTAACCTACTCATTGGTCAGAGTCTATGAAGATTTTCCCCATCCCCTTACAGTTATGACCCCCCTCCCCCACTTTGGACTGCGTGTAAAATTTTGGGACCTTTTGGCAGTCTTTATCCTTTATTATTTTATACTATAGCTATTTGTGCCACATAGCTGATTTCTCTATTAGACTATAATCTTCAAGAAGGCCACATGATATAATGTAGAAGCATCAAATTCTCTGCCTGCAAAACTCCCAAGTGAGATCTGAACTAGATCAAAATATAATTGGGAAATATTTAATAAAATAAATAAAATACAATATAACATAGATAATGTTAATTTGTGGTATTCATAGGGATCTGTTTCTTTAATGGTATAATAGAAAAATAATCTAGATTCAAATGTAGTGGACCTCTGTGAAGACTTCCCCTATCCCCTTCCCGACCTTGGACAAGGTTTGAAATTTTATATGAGGTCCAAGGTTGGGGGTCTTGTCTCTGTTTCTCACACAAGTTATATCTTCTCTCATCTCTGTGCCTTTCTGTGGATCATTCCACCTGCCTGGAATGTATGCCCTCCTTAACTCTTCCTAAAAGAATCCCTCTCTTCCTTCAAGACATGGTTTAAGGCTTCATCCTTTTATTAAGGGGATTTGTTCTGTGAAGCTTGGATTCAGACAAAGGGTGGCACTTGAGGACCTAGAGGACCACCTGAGGCCTGGACTTTAAGCAATGATTCTTCCATGAAACTTCTCTAGTTCTAGTCCATGGGTAATGTTTTCCCTCCCAAACTACCTTGTGTTCACCCACCATTTTATTAGGCATTTATTCCATATATGTTTCTGTATGTACATGCTATCAAATGTAAGCTCATTGAGGGTAGGGATTGGTTCATTGATTACATTGGCATCTCCAGCACCCAATGCAGTGTCTGGCACATAGTAGGCATTTAATAAATGCTTATTGATTGATTAGAGGAGATGGAAAGTTTAGGTGATGTCGATTGCTTGCACTTATGTAGTCCTTTAATGTTCACAGAGTACTTTACATGCACCTCTCATGTGATTGTCACAACACCCCTGGGAGTTTGGGGCTACTCTCATTATCACTGTTTTGTAGATAAGGAAACCAAAGCTCGAAAGAGTCTTAAATGACTTTCCTAGCATCCCACAGTATACTTTACACATAATAGGTGCTCAGTAAAATTTTATTAATTGGATTGAATCTATGGTGACATCAGAAGAGCTTTATGCAGTGGAAACTTGCTTTATTTTCCCATGTAGTCAGTTTCCCACAGTAGCAATAAGTGGAAAGTTTGGTCACATTGAGTTGTTTCTCCAGTAGTGGTGATGGTTTTCTCACTGATCCATCCATTTTCCCTCTTGGCTTCCTTTGTGACCAAGAATACAAATTGTGACATGTAGCAAGCTGAGATTAGAGATTATCCTAGCCCATGCCCCTGCTCATGATTTACAGTTTTGTGGCAGCTTTCAAAAAAAAAGTCAGACAAGCCAGTAATGCTTTGTTAAAGGTGTTATAGTGGACATACTTTTGGGTACTCCTAGGTAGCTACTGAGGTATCTTCCAGCTTGGAAATTCTGTGATTCCTGGGTCCCTTCTCGAACCTCCAACTCTCAGAACTTCTGCCTCCCTGCCAGGCTTAGTTCAGTCTCCTCCTTTTATAGGACACCTTTCCTAATGTCCCAGTTGTTAGTTCTTTTCCTCCCCCCTGAAATAGTTTGTATTTATTTAAATATGTTTTGTTTTTATCTATCTGCTTATATGTATCTAGTACAGGAGAACGTACGCTCACTGAGGGCAGAGATTATTTTATTTGTCTCCTTACATCTCCAGCACCATGCACGTAGTAGGCATTTACCAAATGCATATAGAATTGAATCAAAGGTTTATCACATGCCCATTTTCTATAGATGACATTGTGAGAAATATGATAGAAATAGAAAACATGGTCCCAACCTTTAAGTAACATATTCTGAATAGGTGTTGAGATTATCTCTTTGTATTCTGCAGACAACACAAACATACCTAAGATTAATAAGGCAATGAATGAGCCAAGATCTTGGAGAAAGACTTATTATTCCTGGTGTTTATCTTGTGTTTTTGTGTTTTGTTTTTTGTTTTTACTATATAGGTCAACTACTAGAGCCATGCAAAAAATGCAGTTAAACTGTTGTCAACTCAATTTCCAGCTTTATTATACAAATTTCTCAGGTCCATAAATTTTCATTTCCTCCTCCACCATGACTACTGCCTAATGATCATTAATCAGTTAGCATATGGGTCTAAAATATCAGTGAAAGGCATTCTTAATAGAAATTGTATAGGTTTGATAAGGTTTCTGGGGAAGGAGATTGTTATAGGTTCTTCGGGTAAAGCAATATGAGTCAGATTATTGCAGCTTAATGATGCTTTTCTCACTCTCTATGTGATATTGTTTTTCAGGACCAGTCCTACAGCTGTGGTAGAAGAAATGTGGTGTATATAAAATTTGTGATAGCTGGGAGAAATTCTGGTAAGTGTTGCTGCATTTATTCCTAATAACTTTTGTTAGATGATGGGGGCCCATAAAAGATGGTTGCTTCCTTGTTCTTTGCCGCTTTAAAATCTGTGTTAAGCTGAGAGAAGGCAAAATTTTATGATGATGAAATGTAGCTCTGCTTCTGTGTTTCCTGTTAGTGACTGCAGTTTTTGTTGCCATTGCTGTTTCTAAGGAATATGTTGTTTCCTAGGTATAATGAGGATAGCCTTCTGGGTCAAAAGCAAAGAATATTGTTGACAGATTAATTTACTTAGTTTCTTGTGTTTTCTCTGCTATTACTGTATGATCAAGGTAATGAGCCTCTTTGCTGAGAGAATAAGAATGAGAGCGACAGAGACAGAGAGAGAGAAAGGGGTAGAATACAGAGCAGAGAAATCTTGAGATTCAGTGTGTCTAAATATTATTTCAAATTCATCTGCTTAGGCAGAGGAAGAAGGCTAATTGAATTTGGTGCATGGAGAATTAGAGGGAACCTGAATGGTTGGTAGCCATTTAAAAGACCAGTATTAAAAGACCACTGGGACAAAGTGCCTTCCTTTTGAATCAGTGAACAGACATTTATTGAGGGCCTACTCTGTGACAGGCAGGGAACACAAAAACAAAAGTGAGACAATCCCTGCCCCCAAAGAGCTTACAGCATGACATATTGGTAGAAAGAGCTCTGGTTCTAAAGTCTGGAGACCTGGGTTTAAATCCTTACTCTCATGCTTATTCCCTTATCCTCCCTGGACACTTTCAGCCTCAGTTTCTTAATCTGTAAAATGAGGAGGTTGTACCCAGTGGCCCTCTGAGAGGTCCCTTCTAGCTCTAAATTTATGATCCTAAAACTAGGCAAGGCCTACCTCAAAAAACAAGGGAAAAAATTGATGTTTTCTCATCTGTAAAATGAGGGGGTAGACAAGATGGCCTTTGGAGGGAGGTCCCTTCTGGCTCTAAATTTATGGTCCAATGACCTGTGTATGACATTATAGAAGACAGTGCTAACAGGAAGCTCCATCCAACAGGTTGGACAGATTATAGAAGCTAAGCCCCCATAGGAGCATGAGCTTTGTGGGAGGATAGAGATAGTCAAAAAAGGATTGATTCTATCCAGGGTGATGTATCAGTAGGTCCCCAGTGCAATTAAGATCATGGAATCATAGATTTAAAGCTAGAAGAGACTTTTTAAGCCATTGAATTCACCCCCCCCATTTTACATGTCAGGAAACTGAGGTACAAAAAACACCTAGCTTGTAAATGTCTGAGGTGAGTTTTAAACCTTGGTCTTCCTGATCCCCAAGACCAGCACTTTGTCCATTAGTCCATACTGCTTCATCCAAAGATGATAATAACATTTATTCCTTGCTATACTCTCCAACTAACCAGCGGGTCTTACATTGCTAATCTTATTTGCCAAGGAATTGATCTAGTTCTTGTGGTTGGTATCTCAGAGTAAGTATATATAACTCACTGCTTCTTCCTTCCATTTACACTGCCACTGAGTGAAATCACCTTGGTTTGAGTTTTGTTTAAATTTAGAAATTAATAGAATTTCATTTCAAAACAAATAAGATAAGTGTGTTTTAAAGGGAGGAAGGGAGGAAGTAGGTTGAATTCTCAGCTTCATACTACCTTACAGAGACTTCCTGTGTGGGGAAAAATGTAGAAACCAAAGAAAGAGAGAGAAGTACAGGAAATGAGTAGGATAGATTTACATGACCAAGGCATTATTTTCTTGGAGGTGATACTTTCATTTCCAGCCTTTTTCACATATGTGGTACCTTCTCTGAAAGCTAGATAATTTGCTGAAATTTCTTAGGCATGCACTACAGGGGAGTTTGAAAACCACTTAGTACCAGAACTTTGATATGTGTGTAGGGAATTGAAGGAGAGATGTGTTAGTGGTTCAAACTATGTGCTTGGAGTTAATAGCTTTATTCCAAAGCCTGTTACTCTTATTTCATTGAATTTTGTTAAACTTTTTATTGATAGCTTTTGTTTTTATATAACCAACATTTTCCAATACATCCCTCCTTTCTCCCTCTCAGAGCCATGCCTTGTAATAAAGAATTTTTTAAAAGAAGAAAAAAATAAGTTGGCAAAACTAACCAACATATCAAAAAAGTATTACATAATAATTCAGTGTTCCATATCCATAGTCCCCCACCTCAGCAAAGAAGCAGGGGGAGGTACCTTCTGAGATGTCTTCTGTGGGAGCCTTTCATGGAGCGTCTATGCATTCAGTTTCGATTGTCATTTCATAGAATCTTAAAAAAGGAAGAGACCTTAGAAATCATTGATTTCAACCTCCACACAGTATAGAAATTCCTTCCATATCACCCCGAGAGATGGTTATTCTCCATCTGGTTGAATACTTCTAGTTACAGGGAGCACCCTACTCTATAAGGTAACCCTATTCCATTATTGGACAGTTCTATTTAGAAAGCTCTATAACTCTGAAGACTTGTATGAACTTGTCTAGAGCAGGGCTTCTTGAACTCTTTCTACTTGCAACCCCTTTTTGCGTTTCAGCAGCATTCGTTGGCGTTATGTGCTGTGACGGCATATGCAGTGCAAAGTGTGCATACTGTGTGTTCAGAACCAAGGTTGCAGTGAACTTATGTGCTACAACACGGGCAAATGCTGACAGAAACACCCCGAATTCATCATGCGTTTGATTTTTAATTAATTTTTGGTTGTTGCACATTCAGAAACCTTTTTCTGCTGCCAAATTTTTCATGACCCGAAGTTTAAGAAGCACTGGTGTAGAGCAGTGCTTCTCAAAGTGTGGTCTGTGGACCCCAGGCGTCCCCAAGATTCTTTCAGGAAGAGAATCCTACAAAACTATTTCCATAATAGTACTAAGATATTACTTCCCCTTTTTATTCTCATTCTTTCATGCGTATACAGTGGAGTTTCTCAAAGGCTATATGACCTGTGAATTAAAGATTTATCTGTAAACATGAAGACTGAGTTAGTATATCATATGAAGAATTGAACTTTTGCATAACAAATGGATAAGTCTACAGAAATGCCTAGACTGATATTTTCATTGTGTTGTATTCATCTGTTATCAGTACCAACTAATCATCAAAGACCTTCTTTTCTGCCTCTGCTTGGCAGCAAACCTGAGTGATGCTGAAATGTTCAAAAGTGTTGAATAACTTTTTGAATTTCATAGTTCAGCTGAAACAACGATGTTGGCATTTTCGCTGTTGGTGAAAAAGCAATAGTGGAGAAAACTGCTGGCACCTTAGTAGGAATCAGGGTGGTGGCATCAAACCATACTGTATGCTATCATATTCTCCACTGTCACAAACACAAACTTGCAGTAAAAAGAAAAGAAAAGAAAAAGCCAGTTTCCTTGATCCAAGGATATCAGTAATGTCCTTGATAAAGCAATAAAAATTAATTTATTAAATCTCAACTCTTGAGTATACTTCTTTTTAATATTCTATGTGATAAGATGAGAAGTATACATTAAACACTTCTGCTTACTTAAGTGCCATGGTTATCTCAAGGAAAACCACTTACACAATTGAGTTATAACCTGAACTAACCATTTTTTCCCCATGAAACACCATTTTTACTTGAAGAAACAACATATAAACTATGATTATTCAGACTTGAGTATTTGGCAGCCATTCTTTCTAAAATGAACAGTGAGCCTATAACTTCATGGTAAAGAACTGACATTTGTTGCCAATGAAAAACTTTTGACATTTCTTGCAAAAATTAGAATTTTGGAAAGCTTATATCCACCACTGTAAGCTTGACTACTTCCCATGACTTAAAGACTTTTATGATGAAATCAGTGGTGATATTAATGTATGTGATTTTTTTATGACATTTGGAAGATCTGCATAAGTCAGTGAACCAATGTTTTCTAGATGACCAATGCATTATTTTATAAAATCATGCGTCAGCAAATGATCCAGCCAATGGATTTTAACATAACAGAGTACAAAAGTTCATTGATATGGTTTCAGATTCCACATTGCAACTGACCTTTAAGAAACCAGTTGAATTTTGGTATAGTATCAAAGAAGAATATCCACAATTATCTGAAAAGTCTATGAAAATAGTCTTTTCTTTTGTCCAATTATATTTCTTTATGGTGCTGGATTTTCTTAATATATTTCAAGCAACACAACTATCACAACAGATTCAATGCAGAATCAGAAATTAGTTCAGTTTTAGACATGTTAAGTTTAAGATGACTATGGTACATCCGTTCTTCCTTATATTAAGCCAAAGTCTACTTCCCTGTAGAGGTCTTTAATCTGGCAACATCAACATAATTTTTCCACGTAATATCATACAGTTTTTTAGATCTGGAAGGGACATTAAAGATCATCTGGTTCAACATTTTCAGTTTATAAATGAGGAAATCAAAATCAAGAGAAATTAAATCATTTGTCTAGGGTTATATAGTTAGTAATAGAATCTAGAATAGAATCCAGATATCTAAACACTCAGTCTGTAGAAGTTTTCTTCAGATATTTAAGAGCTGTCATTTACTTCCAGACTTCTCTTCTCTGGGTTAAACACTCCCAGCCCTTTCATCTGTTCCTCATATGCCATTGTTTCCAGCCCCTGAACTACCCTGGTCTCTCTTTTCTTGGAAATTAGTTATGTTAGTATTCTCCTAAAATGCAGTGCCCTTAAATCAGCTCTGAAATTCAGAGATGGCCTGAGCAGTGCAGAATGCTATGAGACTCTTGCTTTCTGTGAGAGGCAGGCTGGCATAGTGAGTGGAGAGTTGGCCTCAGAGTCAGGAAGACTAAGGTTCAAGCATACTGTATGAGCTGTAGGCAAGCCACAGAACTTCTCATTGTCCCAGGCGATTTTGATCTGCATTGCTAGAGGTAGTTTTCCTCACTAGGAAACTAGGAGTTGCCTACTATAATGAAATCGTGGCCTGACCACACAAAAATTACATTCTATGTTCTGCCTACTATATTAGTCAGTGGTTTTAATAACTATGCATACTA